TAATCATCTTAAACCTGATTACTTCAAGTTGAAGTGCATTAACTGGAGAAAGGTCCTTATTGCTTGCATTCATAGCTTGATAAGAAATACTCCCTTGTGGGAATATCTGGTTGCAGTGTACATCAGTGTCTTCGCCTAAATTTAAAATGCGTGTACAAAGGCAAACATGTTACCTTGTTTTGTGCATTCAGTTTAGGTGTGATGATACAACCCATGCAACACTGTGCTCTCTTACTGTGTTGATTCAATATCAGCTTGTCAATAAATGGACTGTTCCTTTGTAACCATCATGCTGTGATGTCTTTGAATAAGTGGTGCCTCGATATACAATCCCAGGGTGGCAATATCCAACTAAGATCATGTTTATTTTCCTGTAATATTACTTCTTGTCAATTACTATATATACATTTTTTTTAATAGAGAACAAGGAAAATCACTCTCAGATTGTACTCAAAATGCTTAACGAATGCAAAAAGGTGACAACGACCATTACTTTGTTATAAAGGGTCATAATTAGAAATCATTTCTGAGAATCACTGTAAACAAATAGGTCCTGAAACTCATCATAATGCCTGTTTGCATAATTTCAAACAGCATTACTGTCTTATAGGGTCATAAGTACAATGTTACAAACTGTTGAGTTTCATAACTGTACACCAATCAGTCCAGGTAAAAAATGAAACGTCACATAAATAAGAAAAATATTTATTCATTAAAAAAAGCTTAAACCAGTTCAAAAATGCTACATTATATTACTGGGCAGAGAGATAGATGAATGCATACATACTATTAAAAAAGGTAATAAGGCATCTTGCATATACAAAAGTGAAGTGAAAAAGCATCTTCAGTTATTAAATATATTGCAAAGAATATGATACATATTTGTAATACAGCAACAATTGCATAATTACTACAAGTTGACATTACCTGCCTGGCTGGTGAATTTGTATTTTATATCGACAAATACACAAGCATTGGAGTGTAGTCGTGATAATTTCCAGCTCATCTTAGCAGTGAATAAAACAAGCTGTCGTAATACCTCTCTCCATTTGCTCTCACAATGCATCTTCACACAGGCAACAACATTCTTGCACTTGATCACAGACTGGATTGTGTACAAATACAACAAATGTATATTTGCTCCAGTTGCCTAGTTGCCAGATATAAATGCGCAAATATGACCAGTTTATTTCAGATCACTGTTTTCATTGTAATATACCCATAATCTTTTGAAAACAAGTGCAATATGTGGACGTTTTGTGCAACAGAAAAGACATGACTGAATTTATATAATAAGACGATAATACAAATCATAGCACAGATTAATGCTTAAGTGCGGGCTACACATGACATAACAGAAAATGAACTTAGTGCTAAAGGAAAGCTGTATGGTATACTACATCAAATCTGATTTAAGGCAGAATTCAGTATTGACATACTGTAGTAAAGAATAAGTTAAGAGATTAGAATAAAAAGCCCTCATTTGGATTTTAAAAAGCCCTTACAGGCAAAGGAATACTCCCTTAAGAGATGAATGAGTACAACTTTTTGATTCATTAAGTTACAGACACAGCTTGGTAAGGTAAGAAATGCCAGAAAATATATATGCACAAGGTTACATCCATCCCTGCCAAGTGATTTTAACTGCTTTTCAGTGCAAAATGGACACAGCTCATTCACCCCATTATTGTTGAGCTTGTAGTCTGACATATTTTAAAAAGAGAATGTCAAGTTACTCCATTTAAAAAAAGTGTTCAGTTGTACAGTAACATTTTTCTCCATTAACCTCCGTCGGCTTTTTTTGGAATGTTTTTCTCCTCTTCTTGACGTCAAACAAGTTACTGTAAGTTTACTACTGTCATAGCCAGGCTTTGTCCATGCTGGAGTAACAGTGGTCTGCATCAGTGTGCGTAATGCTCAGTCCGTCAGAGTCCACACAGTCGAACACTATGCCTTCCACGTCCACCTCCACGTCCTCTGTAAAGGGACCGACAAAACATCAATTCCATTAGTGAAAGAGAAAAAACACTATGGAAATGTGTGAAAAGAACATACAAAAATATTCAATGCATACACATAAAGATAATTTTGTTAACTTGTGTTGTTTTGTTCTTGCTTTAATCATTTGGATGAAAGATTTATGTAAGTTAATAACAAAATACAAATAATAACGTCACAATACTTTTCCTTGAGGTTGATAACCTGTAATATTGATTACTTTTGATTTAGTTTCAATCATAATATGTAAAATGTCCACATCCTAAACACCCATTAATGAGTAGACTACACTAATGTATGATTAACAAATAAGTTTTGACAGCAAATCATTTGTGGACATATTTTTTTTTAGAAGGTTTCTCTCTCTGTCTTTTTTTTTTATAAATCCTTTGCTGGAATTTCTAATTCCCATCAGAGCAGAATCACAGGGGTTTGAATGTGACAGAATAATGATCAAATACAACCAAACCTTTAATTGTACTTCAAGCTATAAAAGGCTACACATTACTGTGACTACACCTGGTTGAGAGGCTTGGTACGTACCTCTGTCAGAGTCCGACCTCTCGGACGACATGGTTGACCCATGACTGTCGTTCCTCATCCTCTCTGAGCCTCTCTGCAGCTGCTCCAGCCGCACCCGCAGCTCTCTCTGCTCCCAGCGCAGACGGCCCTTCATCTGCTCCGCACGCTCATCCTGCTCCTGCAGCTTCTGAAATGTAAAAAAGAAGAGACGGAAAAGTGAGCAGGGGACTAAATATGTAGACCCAACTTTAGACGGTATAAGCATCTATCAAATACTGTTAGCAAATGCACCATGATATGAGGACAATGATTGTCCCATTATCATGTTCTTAACTAGGACTTCTATGAGTCATGGTGTTGTGTACCTTTATGTGCAGCTGGGCTCGTCTCAGCAGGTTGAGTGTGGTGTTCCTCATCGAGTCAGATGACAGAGGGACTTGCTTCTTCAGCTCCTCTAGGTGGTGCCTCAGCTGAGCCCGTCTAAAAAGCACAACAGATGTTATTTCATGGAAGTGAAAACAGGCTTTTCAAGATTGTCCTCTGCATTTGGCCTACATATAAAAGTTTGTTTTTTTATACACTTGTGATATAATCTATTGTTCATGACAAAATAGTCCAAACCTGTTTTTTTCCAGCTCGTTGTGAACCGACCTGCAGGTACAGAAAAATACAGTTTTGTTAAGCTATGAAATATGTTCATGTTGCAAATGCATAACCACACCCTTTTTTGTCAGTTGTCTGTTATGCAAGGTATTCACCTATTGCCTCCACCAGCAGCAGATATCTTTCTGTTCCTCTGTTTGCTCCTCTTGTCAGAGTCATCTGGACTGAGAGGAAGGAGTGAAGCATAGCCATGTTCTGCCTCTGTGCAGGAAAAGAAACATCACAACGGTGTTAGAAAACTGTCTGAAATTAAATAGCAACGATGTTAAGTATAAATATAAAGTGATCCCATTATCATCGGTAATGAAACCTAGTGCTATAAATGATCATATAATACCTAATCTCTTCCTAAATCGTAAGAAGAGGAGAACAAAAGCTGCTGTCAACAGCATCATCAGCTGGGCGTTTTGTTTTTGGCGCCATCACACCGCTCTTTCACTTTTATAAAACGACTCTTTGTAGCCTCACAGGCAGAAATGCAAAATAAGATGTTATATTGTTTTAATAGGAAGTTAAACGTTGAGTTTAGCGTTGTCCCTTTCTCACTTTCATTGACAGTAGAGAGCGTTCACCGCCGCTCTAATTCCTTTTCAAACTGGAGCAGATTGGCGCCTTTGAGTACAATGATGTGACCGATATGTAGGTCACTGAGTAATGGGATGGATCGCCTAATGTTACCCTTGTTGCAGAAAAAATTATACGCTCTGCAACACTAACATTGTGTTGTATATCTATATTATGTTTTGCATTACATGCATAGTTAATTTAGCTTCAAATGCATTTCGTTGGGTTAACAATAACCAACTTCCTCCCCTGCAGACTGACAGTTATCATAAAAACCTTACCTCGCTCTCTTCTCTCAAGAAACTCAGCAGCCCGGAGAAGCACCTGGATGTTGCAAGTTCCTTCCATTATAATTGTTGTTAAAAGAATAAAATCTCTGGTAAACAAGCAACTGTGGCGTAAGCGTCAGCAGTCAGGAGATGAAGCTGCGTCTGTGCTACGTCCTCAGTTGAGTCCACAGAGCCTAAACACTGGCGCTGCGTTCACGTGTTCGGCGTAAACTCGGACATATGAAACTACCGTCATAAAAAATATCCGGAGGGCACAACGTTGATCTAATATAGAGACAAGGAGGACAATTTAACTAAAGTATTGGCATCTAGTGCCTCATTTTCGTTAGAAAAGAGAAAAAAGTTTATATTTTGGTGACTTTTTATTTACTTTTCATTGTATAAAGTTTTAAGGTTACAATTATAATATGTCCGAAAGCAATTGAAGGCATCTACAGTCAATGTAAAACGTCATGTCAAAGCTCCCTCCCCTCATCTTTGACAACACCTTTGTTTTTCAAACATTCATTATTTTGGCGGACTATATTGACTTGCGCTTGACTGATATTTGCATGCACTTATACTTTCTTTCCACTATTATATTAAAACCTAAAGAAAAACATGATATAAGATGGCCGTCTGAGAGCTAACCTAGTTGTGTAAAGTTGCATTGTTAGCTACATATGCTTTTGTTACACTTAGTATAATTTTACTCTCCCCCTCTTCCGATGTATAAAAAACAAATGTGTATTTGCCTAAATCCATCTGATTATCTTACTATTCAAATATTTTCATTTACAAGACGGTGTACATTAACATGCATACTTTTGGTAACATAGAATAACATGGTCTTATATATGTTGAAAACGTCAAAACAATCGTTTCCGTAGTTAATGTAGGAGGGAGGATATGTCAAATGGTATTTTCATTCACATAAGAAAGTGGGAGGGGAGGATTGCCCTTACCAAAGATGGCGGTGTCTGGCTTCAGTGCTTGCGTAAGGTTTCAGTTGTAGTCTCCCTATAGGAGTGAAGCCGCATTGCCAGCAGTATCTTTAACCTATGAACTCCTGAGTGTGCCAGTCCTCCGCCATATTGACTGTTGTCTTGACTGGAGGAGATAGAGAACATTTTGAGGTCCGAGAAGAAACGAAAGTGTGCTCTCCAAATCCTCGAAACTGGTGCAAACTTGGCCAAAGCGTATTATAAACAACACCGTAATGGCAAGGAAGAAAAGCAAGCAGCCAGGAGTCGCCCAGAAGGAGCTTGCGCCCGGACAGCAGACCGCACCGAAGAGCCCAGTCTCTCCCGGCGATGCAGCTGACGGTGGCGGCGGAGATGCTGGGCTGGATAGGCTGGCCAATACCAGGGCGAACCAGGTAGCTAGCAACAAGCCAATTGCTGCTTTTAAAACAGGCTAGCTAGCATCTGAGCTAGCATCACTCTGCTAATCCAAGCATCTTTCATTGTGCTATTTTCTTCTAGCTAGATTGTGCAGATTTGAAGTTATATGCATCCGCTGTCTGGTTGAAAGCTATTTGTATCGTTATGTAGTAGTCGTAGATGTTGTACTCTCACGTCGATTGATATGTTAATAAATAAATAATAGGCTCAACTTAGCCAACAGACTCGTCCCTAGCAGGCGGCGTTGAGGCTAGCTTTGCAGCCCAGCTCCTCTGACGGACAGGTGACATTGTGCCTCGGACAGGTCGTCCCATTTCCAGCATTTACAACTATTCATCCGCACAGCTTACATTAGCCCGAAGGCTAGCTGGGCTATCATCTCCAGCTAGCGCGTTGCAAACGTGCTTAGTGCCTGCAGTTGAACCCAATACACAGGAACCACACAGCCAGCAGTAGCTAAACAGCTGCTAGCAAGCTAATTAGCTGGTTAGCTGTACTAGATAACGAGTTCATAATAAAGCTAGCTAACTAGTTCGAGTTGTTTATTCGACTCTTTCATACTGTTTACCTTTTTGCTGTGTAGCACTACCGGAGTATGACAGGAGCTCATGTTAAAAAAAGTTAAATGCATGCAGCTATCGGACAGTGATGCCTAGGCTTAGTAGGCTAGCTAAGTCGAAGTCAGTGTGTTAGCTAAGTTGAGGGTAAACACTAACCTTAGCCTTAAAAACAGAAGATGCTACTGCAGGTTTTGACCACTGTCGCCTCAGCAACCATCTGACCTCAGAGCCTTAAGTTTTCACATTTTAAACCACCACAACGGTATGATGCCAGTTTAGACACGTCCCAATGCTACAGATAATATATTTTATTTTTAGGCAGAATTGTGTTATGCTATTGTAATTATCAACATTCACTAAGCTTTTATAGTATTATGCAACTATACAATTATATCCAGAAAATACTGGAAAACATCTCCTATATCCATAACTGTTTAGAGAGTTGTTGATTTCACCTTTTAAGTTTTGAATCACCTTTGTATTAGACTGTTCGTTTGAGCTGGATGCACTGAATAATAAACTGTAACTGAGTGCAAAATGCACACATAATCCATATTTTAAAAGGTCTCTTGACTGCTTACTATGTTTTGGTGACAATGTCATAATGTAGAAACTATCCTGACAGACATCTGACATAGTAGACCATATTTTTATTTTCAATCACAGGCGCATACTCAACCTCTTTATCCTCTCTCTCTCCTAGCCTATGCACACCTGCTGCCTCCTGTGCCACCGAGAATTTAAGGACTGGGGAGCAAACTCTGTGAACGGACTCCCTGGGGGCCATGGGACCAAGCTGGCTGATGCCGTGCCTGCGCTCTCCCAGGCCTTATTGCGGGAGGCACCAGGGCGTAAGCTTGCTGATGCCGTGCCCTCGCTGTCTCAGTCCCTGCTGGGAGAGGTGCCTCTGTGGATATGTCAGAGCTGCTGCAAGAGTGTGGAAGAGGAAGAGAGGCGAAGCACCCAGGAGCAACCAGCGCCGGTAAATAAAAAAGGACTAATTTGGGTCATATGTTTGGATCCTTTTTTACAACTTCTTTGTACTACGTTTTAGTTGAACTGTGTTGGTTTCTGTCGACGGAGGCAATCTCTTCTTTATTCATCATACAAGGCATTGCATGTGCTTACTCACTAAATAAATCGTTGTTGTAAGTTTAAACGTATAGTCTTTTTGCATATTCAGTACCTTATTTTGTATTTATGTCTCTGGCATATCTAAGGCAGCAGCAGCTATCAACTCTGCTTTCTTAGTTTGTTTTTTAACACAAATGCTTTGCATGAAATGCAAATTTCAGACTTCTCTTTCATCTTACTTAAGCTTCACTTGAGATGAACTTGGTGTCCCAGATGTTTTGTTGATATTTGGTTCAAACATGCAAATGTTAAAAAAAAGTGAGGAATAAGGAACGGAATGAGAGAACAGCTACTTGCAGTGATTTATTTTTATGTTTTGTTTGTTTTTTACTTAATATGGATTTATGTATTTTTCGCTTGTCAATCTACTTTCAATGTATTACAAGCACATTTAGTTTGTTACTTGGTGCCACTCGTGCCAATAGGTTAGCCTACTGTATTTAAACAGCTCTGTGATTAACCAGTGTGGGCTTTTTTTATTTTTGTATTATGCAGGTACCATTGTCACACTCTTCCTCCTGTAAGTCCCAGAGCTGTGGGAACGGTTACCCGGAGCAAAGTACTGTGGATTGGGACCCGAGTTCCTTCCTGTCAGCCCACAAACTGTCAGGGCTCTGGAACTCTGCCCACACCAACGGAGGGGAACACTGCAACCACAACACTTCTTCACACTCACAACCAGGTCTGTCTTCGCAGGGTAAAACACAGCTCCAGAAAAAACATCTAGTGACATTGACAGTAATTGCTGAAAACATCAAAGACCTACATTTCAGGCTGTGTTGCAAGTTACAGTTTTGTAAAATATACACAAATGTGGTTAGAATCAGTCTCTAAGGATGGCTTGTTAGCCTACTTAGTTCCCAATAAATGTGTGATTTATTTTTGGCCACTTTGTTCAGGTGTTAGTTTATTAGGTCTTAGAAGTATAAAGAGGCATCTTGTAAAAGCTTACTCGGTGAGGTAGATGCTAAAAATAACACACTTTCCATCGAAGATGATTTTACTAAATCAGAGAATATGACTTATGACTAAAAAAGCTAAAAGAATACACTGGATTAAAAATCCACATTCAAATCTTTGTCAAATTTCAGGGATTAAATTAAGGTCACAATCTGTTTGAATATATTCTGAGATAAACTTCAGAATTATTGAGCACTTATTGGATGCTTGGACTTTCAGCTTTTTAATATAAAAATACTTAAAAATTGACCCTTAAAACCATCTTTTATAGGGCTGTGGTTGAAAAGTAATCATCTCTTAAATAAAGTGTGATTTATTTCTTCAAAGCATTTTAAGATATAGTTGAATCATGTATCCCAGCTAAATCATTGGACAGATATATCATTTGAGCATTTATTGGTTCAATAGGACTGTATAACACATTTACTCAGGTGCATTACTTAGCTATAACATCATCTAGCCATTGCAGCATTACCTGAGAGAAGTGCCTCGAGAGGAGAATGGAATGTGAAAGTGTGGCAGGTTTGTCCTGGGCCTGAGACGGGCAGTTGTTTTATAAGGGAAGCATTACATTTCAAACAGATATGATTTTAGCTTTTGTCTGTTTGCTTCCTGTTTCTTGGCTTTATTCAGAACACCTGTAGAGTTTACCGGATGCATAGTTATGGTTCTATCTCTAGTTTAGCTTATTCTCAAATGGGTCATCTTCAGGGTGTCTGCAGGGTCTTAAAAAGTATTAAGTTGATAAATCAATTTAGCGAAAATTAAGGCTATTAAAAAGTATTAAATGGCATTTTCCAAGGTATTACATTTTGTAGCTTGTTTTCAATAAGTATATAAATTGTCCAAAGAGGTTGTATTCTACAGTTTGCCTGAATGTAATCATTGCGTAGGTGTGTAGTGTGATTCTGTGTAGTCTATTTATGGCATCCCGTTGGATTTGACGTCATCTGAACAGGACATCGCTCGCTCACTGCTTGATAGCGCGCGAAGGTCCGTTTACGCCGGTTGTTAAACAACATCGTTATGGGGAAATGCAAGTTTGCGTCCAAATGGTTGGAAGATAAGGAGGAAGGACAATCAATACTGTATATAGTAAATGTGAGGTAAAGTGTCGCCAATGTAACCGGTTAAAACTCGAAGTAGCGATGAGGTCTTAAAATGTATGGAAAGGGTCTTAAAAAAGGTCTTAAAAGGTATTAAATGTGACTTCAGGATTCCTGCATATACCCTGATCTTGCCAAATTGCATTTTAACTTGTGTAAAGGAAATTAGTCATACTTGATGGCATTTGTGCTCAGTGAGTGCAACGGTACACTTTCTGCATGGACAAAGGTGTCAGGCAGAATTGCAAAGTGAAAGGCTGGCTGATAGGGAACCAATGTAAATGCAGATAGTCTCCTTATTCTATAGCCAATACATTGTTGTACTACTTCCTTGTTTTTGTTTTGATTATCAGAAAGGGGCTCTCCCCTTTTTAGAGCTTAAGAATGTCTGTCAATGCTGGTTTCTTTATCATAGCAGTGAGAAATGATCACCATCGGACAGATCAACATGTTTAAACATGCCTTCATAGAGAAGGAAATTATTTGTACGAGACATAAACCGCAGTCTAAAATAGGACTGTTGAATGACCGAAATCTCAGCACCAGGTAATTTTTTCAGGATTATTCAAGGACATTGATTGAAGCACTCAAACTATCCAGGAAGTTATGGTGCTCAAATCAAAATACGATTATTTTTGGTTGGAACTGTTGTCAGATTGTCTTAAAGGGACATTTCCTTTTAAACCCATCATCAAATTAATGGAATATTTTTAATTTCCAGGTTTAACAGCAGGTTCAGCTTGTCATGAGAAAAGAGGACTCCATGAAGCACCGGGGAAATCTGCTAAAACGTCGGGGGCCAAAGTCTGTCCCTACAGTCACCCGTCATCCCAGACCTCCAGTGGATCTTCTGCTGGGAACCCCCTGTCTACCTCAGCAGACCTTTGTAAGACAACGCCCAAGCACTTCAAGACCATGTGCCGTCGACCAACACCGCCAGGTAACACTTCCTGTGACTCTTAGGCACTTGCCCATTTGAGGCTAGAGGCCATCCCCCTTGTTAGCAAAACAATGAAAACGCATCCCCCCCCCCCCCCCCCCCCCCCGTTAACCTGCCATCCCCCTTGTCCCTCCAGTAGCAATAGAGAGGGTTTAAAAATACCAAATCGCCTACTGCTTTAAAGGTTTAACAGCATTTACGAAATCTAAATATTTGAAATATCTTCATCAACCCGCAGTGTTAAACCTTAGGAAAATGTACGGACTAGTTATTCATATTTAATGATGACTTCCTGTAATAGACACCATTATTTAAACAATATTTTTATATCGCACAGTCAAAGATCTTAAAAATAAATGGCTTGCCTATTTTATTTTAAACTTACTCTCAAAGTAAACTTAGATAATTGATATACAAAGGGGACATATTGGATTTACACCTTAGATATGAGTGGTAAATGCATTAATATTAGCCAAAGCAGTTCTTTACGGGACAAGTTGTGCAAACTTGACCCCCCTCCCAAGTTACATTTCTGTCTGTACCCGTAACTTATTCAGGTAGTAATAAATCCCTCAAAATAAACTGTGCAGACCAGAACAAAAACTGATATAGCGTTTATGATGTTGAGTCATTTATATTCTTGTTTTCTGTTGTCCAGGTGAAGCCTTCCACCCCAGTGACCACCATCAGCACACAGACTTGTCGGTACCCCCCAACAGTCCCACCGGCCTGTCCTCCCAGCATTCCTCCCTCCTGCCTCCAAAGCCGAACTCTGGGCAGCATGGTCACGTCACCTCCTCGTCCGGCGCTGGTGTCGCAGCCCACGCTCCCTTCTCCCCGCTGGTACCAAACCTCCACAGCCCCTCAGCCAAACTCAACTCTCCCAGTCCAGACAGTCCCACACCTGTCCATAAGCCCAGCCCCTGCAAAAACTCCCACATTCCTGCCGTGAACACTCAGCACAGCAAACTGGGCACGTCCATCATGGGCTGTAACCACCCTTGTAATGGACACAGTGCGGGGACCGTGGCCCCTTCAAATGTGGGCCATCTGACAGCCGGGGCCTGCAGGTAGGGATTCCTTCTCAACATTGCTTTTTTGAAATATTTTAATCCATCTGCAGTGTTAAGTTATAGGAATATGTGAGGACAAGTTATTTATTTTTTATGATGACTTTCTGTAAACGACACCATTCTTTTTTTAGCCTTAAAAGTCAAAGATCTTGTTTTTACTCTCAATTGGCAAGCCTATTATATTAAACTCGCTCTAAAAGTTAACTTGGTTAATTTATATACTAAGTGGACTTATTTGGTTTACATCTTAGAAATGTGTGTTAGAAATTATCCTTTTTTTTTTTTTGTGAAATACAGAATTCCAGACTTCCAGTAGTTTTTCAAGTGTTTCATCAAGCTTTAGGGGACACCACAAAACCGCTTAAAAAATACAAATGCCTTTTGATGGTCAATGTCAATTATGTCTATTTGTGTAGGGACCAGGCGTGTAAGGGGCACAAAATGACTAATGGAACGTTGTGCCACCCTTCGTCGGAGCTGGAGGAGGGCGAGGATGAAGACAGCAGCTCTGAGAGGAGCTCCTGTGCCTCCTCTTCCACCAATCAGAAGGACGGGAAGTACTGCGACTGCTGCTACTGCGAGTTCTTTGGGCACAATGCGGTACTTTAAACGTTTTTTTTGTTGCTCTCAAGTAATAAATTAGAGTTCCCCTTTGCTTTTACCTGCTTGTTTAACATTTATAAGAATCTAACATGAAAATATTTTTGCTATATATTGTTTGGTCACAGCCTCCAGCTGCACCAACCAGCCGTAACTACGCTGAGATCCGGGAGAAGCTCCGCTCACGTCTGACCCGGCGTAAAGAGGAGCCGCCTCAGCGCCAGGATGCAGAGCTGACAGTGGCCGGCGCCATCGACAACCGGGATGTAGACGAGCTGCTGGACTTCATAAACAGTTCTGAACCCAAACCTGTCAACAGTGCCAAGGCTGCCAAAAGGGCCCGACACAAACAAAAGAAGAAGGTAGAGTCACTTAGAAACTATGTGATTCATTGTTTTTTCATTTTCATTTTAAATTGTATCCTCTAATATAGGGCATTGTTTTTGAGATGTGGATACTCATACTGATAAAGAACACTACTGTATTCCAAATGCTACCAAGTCATATGTATTCTTTAAAACAAGGAATACTAATAATACATTTTTCAAAACACAAACACCTCTAGAATAGTTATAAGCTAAAATTAGACTTAAAAGTATAATCCTTTCAATGACTCCTAACAACACATTTCGTCTGTGTTACTATCAAATTCAATGAATACAGCTCTGATATGGCACTAGGAGATTAAAGAGAGAGTGACATCAATGAGATAAAATGACAAACAGTAGCGTTCGATTACAAGAAGGCATACTTTCATTTGAAGGTATCACACATATCACTAATAAAAACCACTCTATAGAACGTGTATTTCATGATTTAAATTAAGTCAATGGCTGTTGCTTTGATTTCATAAAAAATCTTTTGGATGATAACTAATAATCAAGAAACAAATCTGACTAAACGTTTGATGTCAAAGTGCTGCAGATGCATTTTGGTCAATGCAGCAAAGAAACCATCGATGCTTCATACTTACTGACGTGTAATCTATTTTTGTTTCAGGAAAAGGCTCAGCAGGGAACGGGTGCTGCAGGCAGTGACCCCAACTCCGACCCCTCTGATCCTGCCGACGACGAGCCCCTCCCTGATGGCTCAGAAGCCAGTCGGCTGCTGGATTGGCCTCAGCTGGAGCTCGAGCGCGTCAACAGTTTCCTCACCAGTCGGCTGGAGGAGATTAAGAACACCATCAAAGACTCAATCCGGGCCTCATTTAGCATGTACGACCTCAATCTGGATGTTAATGACTTCCCAAAGAAGGCTGCCACGCTGGAGGGCAACCATTTACTGTCCCATCTCAATGGTTCCTCTGACCTGCAGCAGATAGACCTGGACTTGGCACCTCTCTCACTGGGAAACTTTAAGAGCCACCTGGACCTGGTTAATGGATGGGAGGACACGACTACGGTCTCATCCGCTAATACAGCCCCCAACACCACCACGGCCTCAGGGGTCCCTCCTGGGTCCAAGGACATCCAGCGGTTGCACACTACCCCCAGTCTTTCGAAGCTCATAAGGGTTCGCTCCCCAGAAAGATGCACTTCCACTGGACCTGACAGTTTGCTGCAGGTGCCAGCCCAAACCACAGCTAAATCGAATGAGGACGCCCCCGATCCCAAGAACACGGCGGTCGGGAACGGGAGTGCAAAGTCAAAGAAGAATAAAAAGCAGCAGCAAAGACAGGAGCAATCTGTGTCCGAGCAAAACACCAACAAACCAACCAAAGCTGCCGCTGGGAATGACACACAGAAAAGCAATGAGTGCAAAGAATCGGCTTCTAACGGCACAAAAGGTGGGAACAGACAGCCCCAGCACTCTGCGGAGAACCAGAGGAACGGGCCAAAGAAAGCCGAGGAGGGCAGATCGTCTAAACACGCAGCAAACGGTGGCGTCTCGAATGCACACAGAGGGAAAGGCGACCCAGACACACGAGGAGGTCGATCCGAGCTGGATTCAGAAAGCAAGACGCACCCCGGAATTCCAGCGAGTGGGCAGCAGCAGCAGCAGCAGCAGCAGCAGCAGCAGCAGCAGCAGCAGCAGCAGCAGCAGCAGCAGCAGCATCAGCAGCAGCATCAGGCCAAGGGGAAGAACAAGAAGAACAAGAATAAGGGTGAAAAATCCAGCAATGCTACTGGTACAATAAACTATCTTTATGACTGTGCTCACAATCTGAATTGTTTCTCAGTTTGTAATGCGTCTAATGAATGTTTTATCGTTTTTCCTTAGAAGATGTCTTTCTCCCTAAAGAAGGCGATCCAACCGAAATGGATGAAATTGATCGTGAAGTGGAATATTTCAAAAGGTAGGCTTAACGTTGCAGTGTTAAATACAAAAAAATGTATTAGCTAAACTATGCTTATTGATTTTAACTTCACTAAAACTGGGCAACATTTCTTATTATTGTTTGTCTGTCTTTGTTTTAGGTTTTGCCTTGATTCTGCAAAACAAACTCGCCAGAAGGTAGCAGTGAATTGGTCCAACTTCACCCTCAAAAAGGTTCCTTCCAATGCAGCTCAATAACTTGGACGAGTGCCAGAAAAACTCCACACCACAAACTCTTTCAGTAGAGCCCACTTGGCCTGAGGCCTTCTCTCATTCCCTGTTTCTTCTCTTTCTTCCTAAGCCAAGGAACCCTGGTTCGAAATCCTACTCCATTCAGAGGACTGAAACATAACGTGTGGCTGACAGGCCAGGGATCATTCTCCAGGCCAACTTTACCCTTTGCTATTATTGCAATGTTCACTAAATGAGAGATGCAAAATTGGTAAAAAAAAAGTCTGTTGAATCCACTGCATCCATGTGCTTACGTATGTAGTATGTAAACAATTACCTTACATGAAATAAATGTTTTTATCACAAATCTGAGACATTTTAATGTCGTTAAACTTCTGAATTCCAATTTGGTGCTCATTATACATTTCCTTCTGCACAGCTAGTTTCCCGCTCACTTCAGCAGTCTCAGTTGACACTGCAGACCATTTGTCTAGTAATGTAACTGTATAAGGAGCACAAGACAACATTTTGACCTAACTTAAAGAAAACATTTGTACCCTCCTCTTTTGCAGGTGAAGAATCCTTTAATTAATTCTATTCCAAAACAGACTGCAGTGCATTCAGTGGTTGTTGATGATTTTTAATTCGATTGCTTTTCTCAATATTTAATTATGATCATTAAATGATTTAATAATCAGTGGTTGAAAATGATAAACACTTGATTACCCATGAAACTATGTTTAAGACATGAATTGTTTGCGAGTTTAGTTTATCAACAATGCTAAAAGAACCTATTAGAAAACATATGTACTGTGTGTAACACTTGGCTCGCAGGAGGCATCTTATATAACACAAACCCAATGAAGTACCCATGGGACATGTACAACAGAAACATCTGAATAATGGTCCCCACTTCTGTCTGTTGCTTCAATGTCAACCCTCCCCTGGTTTTAATCTTGAACAATTGCATATTTTATAGTGATTTCCATTATACACTCCTCCATCTGTAGAAGAAAGTCCTTTACCACGGTTTTCTAACTCTTAAACTGTTATTTTAACCCCTTTATCCCTTCAGTGACAGGTACACCAGTGTGCAATGTTCATGTTAACGTTGGAACCATCACACATTGTATGGCACAGTCAATTTCAATGCTTGTAAATATTGAGTGATTATTTTGGGCCCTTTTGAGCCTTTGTCATGCGTTTCTGGGGGTTGTGTGTGACATATATTCAACCATCCTACTCTTTCCCTTTACTGTGACCTTGGTGGCATCCTGTACCTCAGCTAGCCTATCTTAAGTTGAAGTCTCGATAATCTTTTGATGATAAACGTCACTGAAGAGTTGATACCTTTGAGACAAGGGCCTTGAGATTTTCACCATTAACCATGTTTTTAGGTGACAGCTTTCATTGAGGCGGATAAGTTCTTTCCTGAATCTGTGCTGAGATTTTGTTTTCATATAACAACATTGATGCTTTCCAGGTTATATTCAATTAGAGAAGATTATCTTAATGTTTCGAATGTAGATTTATACTATATCAATAATAGCCAAGTGTATGTTGGCTTGTTTCTTTTTTTTAAATTCACTTTTGATACTGTGAAAAATCTTTCGTTCAGAAAGATTAAAAACAATACAGTTTTGACAAAAAATAAAGTGTGGTGTTTGTTTTCTTAGTTTATCTATTAAGTTTGGTTTCAATGATGGATATAAATGCCCATAAACTGTGTCAAGGATAAACCATTTGCACGAGCTGACTGAGGCGATTTAAAATGTTCGCTGAGGTTTGACCCTTCCTGCGACCAGTTCAACTTGGAAAAGGAGAAGGAAAAGCAGTAATTAAGAAAAAAGGGATGGAGATCTGGCAGAAAAGGTGGGAGAAAGACCAGAAAGGCAAAGAGTATCATAAAGTTCAAAAGACAATCACAATTAATATTTATAGAGAAAGAAACAGAAGGGAGGAAATCACGACAGCTAGACTCAGACTAAATCACACTGCATTGAATAGTATTGACTGTTTGTCATGGGGGGAAAGTAACAGTGACAAGTGTAGGAACTGTGGAGTTAAAGAAAATGTGGAACATATCTTATTACATTCTGACATCTATAAAGCTGAAAGAGAAAAACTAAAGGATAAAGTTATAGAGGCAGAGAGGGAGTGGAATGTGTTTGGTATTCTGGGAACAGAAGGAGAAGGATAAGAGCTACCAGAAAGGCACTGTTTACCTTTGAGTGAAACTGGGGTAGGTAAAATAATCTAACATTAGGTTAGAATAGATCATGGATTTTATTTTTATTTTTGATTACATCATAGATACGTCCATGAGTTGAGAGATGGAATGACATGATGATACACACTCATGTACAGTAGGTGGCGGTATGCAACTACTAAGCTGTTTGCGATCCGCCATTAAAAGAGAGAAGAAGAAGAAGACCCTTCCTTCATCCCGTACAGCATCCTAGCTTCCTGTGTTGTGTAAACATGTGGATTGGGACTCTTTATTGAATAGTGCGCCGACTAGTTGTTAAACAACTAATTAATTTAAGTTCATAGAGAACGTAACTGTATTAATAACAACATGGAGTCTGAAAATCGAACTAAAAAGGTACGTTTATTCATTCACCATGCATAGTATGAGTTTACACTGGCAAGCTAACACTAGCTTGAGTTAGCTAGCTAATCCTCAACTCTGCTTATAGGCGATGTATCCATTCAGCAGTTCAAACAATTATAACTGGTCAATAAACAACGTTACACAAACATGTTTAAACAATATACAGTTTTCTATTAGATGTCGTATGTGTGTAAACGGTGTTCGGTAAACTACCGCTAACGATAGCCATAATGTAGCACCACAACAATACGTGATGGTGACGTTCAGTTTACTGAAGTCTGCTACAAATACTTTACCTTTGTTTAACCCTTACCTAAGTATAAGAGTGATATTACTTGATTGCGTTTTTTATTCATTAATAACATCCTGTTACTAAAGCCATTTAAAGGTGGGGTAGGTAAGTTTGAGAAACCGGCTCGAGATACACTTTGTGTTATATTCCATGGAATGCTCTTAACATCCCGATAGCAATGAATATCTTAAGTGCTTTGACAAAAAATCCATAAAAAAAATGTCATCTGTGGAAGCCGTAATACTGTAAAAAGCACGACCAATCATTTTAGCCGGCCCGGCTAAAATAACTGGATGGCCTACCTGCCTGTCAGCTTTCCATCTGCACAAACTTATCTCGTGCCCTCATTGGTCATGTGCGCGTTCGTGTGTGTTGGAGGAGGGTGTCTCTGTAAGGAAGTGGCAGATTTGTTCCGGCTGTGTATTTTCAAATTATAGTGCACTCGAGCTGGTTTCTCCAAAATTACCTACCCCACCTTTAACCTCTCTTTCTACAGGAAGAGATAATACTATTGATGATAATGTTGATGTGTTTGTACAGAGACCCAATGTGGAGGAGGAAAGGTCTGCCTTAGAGGAAGCGGAGGCGGACGATTATGTTCCGTATGTTCCTGTCAAAATTAGGAAACATCAAATGGTAAGTTATTGTGCATTGTCCTGTTTTGACTTTTGAAAAAAAAAAAGGATACCCCAATCTGATCCACCGGTCCGGTATCAGGGCACAGATCGCATTTGTCAGATCAGTGATGTTGGCCAAACTAAAACTTGAGTCTCATAAAGTGAACTAAATACATATAACCTTTTTAGAGAAAAATAGCTCTAGGAATCTGCCTTGGCACATACCCTTAGTTCTAGTATCAGGATAGAAAAAGTGTTGTTGGTTCATCCCTTATTAGCGGTAGCCTACATGGTCAGTTGGATTTTCTTGAGGAACTTAACATTTCTATAAAAGTTGTATCATTTAAAGACAATTATATTTAGATATTACAGATGTATACCAACATCACATCCCATTGCCACATATTCAACTTAAACAATATATATTATAAACACGTACCTCACAGCAACAGAAGATGTTACGTCTGCGAGGAAAGGCGGTGGACGAGGAGCATAAGGACAGTGGGGAGGAGCAGAGGGACGAGGACGAGGGTCTCGGTCCGCGCTCTAATGTCAGTCTCCTCGACCAGCATCAGCACCTCAAAGAAAAAGCAGAAGGTATTCAGTTTATACACGACCCACTCTGGATATGGGTTATTGCTGTTATTAACATACTGCTCATTAAACATAACCTTATTGTATTCTCACTAGCAGTGTGTTTTTGTATTTACAGCCCGTAAGGAGTCAGCCAAGGAGAAGCAGCTGAAAGAGGAAGAAAATATTCTTGAGAGTGTCGCAGAAGGCAGAGGTAAAATTGCTTTCTACTTCAAATATTACAATATAAATCAGATTTACTTTGAACAACAGTTTGTGAAAATTGTTCTAACTTGAAAACTAAATCTGGGTCCTTTTTTAATTCCTCCTTTATCAGCTTTGATGTCTGTGAAGGAAATGGCCAAAGGTATCATATATGATGATCCCATAAAAACAAGGTAAGCTCTTGATAAGTGAATTCTATAAAGTAACATTGTTTGACAGTTTATGAATCATTAATCGTGAATGTTCTCTTTAGCTGGAAGGCACCACGGTACATCCTGAACATGCCAAACACTCGAAATGAACGCGTCAGGAAGAAGTTTCACATCCTTTCTGATGGAGACGGCATCCCTCCTCCAATCAAAAGCTTCAGGGAGATGAAGCTTCCACCAGGTGCAAACACGCTCCTTCTTCCACACATGATCAACATAATTGTCTTTCTGTGCAAGGCATTTAGCGCGCCCACCTGATAACCACCTGACAACAGATCTGTGTGTTGTTTTACAGCAATTCTTAAAGGTTTAAAAAAGAAGGGAATTGTGCATCCCACACCAATTCAAATCCAAGGAATCCCTACAGTGTAAGTGCAAAACAACCAGACTGTGAAATATGGAACAAATGTTGAAACCATAAACTGTTCATGTATTGACCGTGTGCGTCTGTAGTCTCGCAGGTCGAGACATGATTGGAATAGCCTTCACTGGATCCGGAAAGACTTTGGTCTTCACTCTGCCCATCATCATGTTTGCCCTGGAGCAGGAGAAAAGGCTGCCTTTCGTCAAGAGAGAAGGACCGTATGGACTCGTCATCTGTCCTTCTGTAAGAAACGCCAGACCATCCTACTTAATTGACGTTGCAGCTTGAACTGCAGCATTAACCCTGATTGATGGTTACAATAAAAATGCAGCATTTCCTTGCACTTTAGACAGATGGCCTTTTACTGTGAGCATCAGCTGAGCGTATCTGATTTTAATACTTTTCCCTTCAATCCAGCGAGAGTTGGCGAGGCAGACTCACGGCATCCTGGAGTACTACTGCAAGCTGCTGGAGGACGAAGGAGCTCCTCAGCTGCGAACTGCTCTCTGCATCGGAGGAATGTCTGTCAAGGATCAGATGGAAGTAGTTAACCAGTAAGTAACATTGGAATGTGTGGGGAAAAAATGACTTTCTGTATTTCATCCAGGATTTCAGCTACATTAAATCATTCAGAGAGGATGAAAATAGCCAAATGTTCCAGATATAATGCATTCAGAAGCAATCACATGTTCATATCCTAACCTAGGCTAGTGGTTGCCAACCTGTTTTTGTCGTGTACCCCTTGAGCTGGTCGCCATTTTACAAGTACCCCCTTACTCATCTGTGATGATTCGCCTACATTTTTCTTGTGTTAAACCCTTTATTATCATATTTTACCCATCTGCTGCTTAGATGAAAATCACTTGTATATAACTCCCCCTTAATACAAATGCATTTAAACTTGACATTTACACTTATTGTGAGTGAAAAATAATAACAACAAGTTTCAAAATCTGATGTTAAGACTAGAGCTTTAAATGAGACACTTGAGCTTGCTTATCTTTCATATGTTTTGATAGTTCTGGAGGCAGGACACCAGGCTTATAAACATTTATTTTAAAAATGCTTTTTTGGGTGGAAATATATTGCAATCCCTAATCTTTCTCAGACCCCCTGCAATCCCCTCCAGTACCCCTAGGGGGCCCTGTATCCCCAGTTGGGAACCACTGATCTAGGCAGCAAAAGTACTGCATTTCAAAAATACAAGCCCAATTAATTTACCATTCGACTGATTATAGTGGTGTCCACATGATGGTGGCTACCCCTGGACGACTGATGGACTTGCTGCAGAAGAAGATGGTGAGTCTGGACATCTGCCGCTACCTGATCCTGGATGAGGCTGATAGGATGATTGACATGGGCTTTGAGGAAGACATCCGAACCATCTTCTCTTACTTCAAGGTGAGGTCATCCTCTGCTTCAGTGTGCACCAAATAACAGCCACCATAACATTGATTATGTTAAGATATTTGTCCTGTGTTGGTTGTTATTTGGTCAAATTCAGATCTCGGTTAGATGTTAGTTGTCATTTATAAATAAAATCTACAAAATGTGTCCATAAAATCGAGTACTCAATACTTTTAGAACAAAGAAGAAAATGTTGTTACTGATACTGTAAAACTATCTGTAACACCAGTTGAAATTGTTATTCACACATTCCTGATGCTTTAAGAGGCAGCACATTTCGTCATCTCCTAAGCACTCCCCATGGTTTGCCGATTAGTCCATCTGCCAGCTGTTGTGCTCAATCAGTTAAAGGGGCCCTATTATTCCCATTTCCAGAGTTCATATTTTTACTTACTTTTACACACTTTTACTGTGACATGTTACCACGCTTTAATTTTCAAAAAGTCATTTATTTTCTCATACTGCCTGTGCTGCAGCACCTCTTTTCACCTTCTGTCTGAAACCAGAGCCCAGTCTGCTCTGATTGGTTAGCTGGCCGATTTTCTTGTGATTTGTCAATAGCTTAGTGATGTGTCAGAATGTCCCGCCCCTTTAGCAAATCACGTACAATGTGTTGAAGCGAGAGTGGGGGTGTACATTTGGGATTTTCAGACCATTAACATGCAAAAGAAATCGAAATAATACACTACTACAGGAAGGGGAATATATCAAAAAGCATAATAGGGCCCCTTTAAAAGTTGACCGTTGACTCTTTTTCAGACTGAAAACTGAGCCTTAAAGCCTGGCTTTTTGAGGCAACCAGATATGAAAAGTTGTATAATGTATTTTTTCTTTACCCAGGGGCAAAGACAAACGCTGCTTTTCAGTGCCACTATGCCCAAGAAGATCCAGAACTTTGCCAAGAGCGCGCTGGTCAAACCCATCACCATCAACGTGGGCAGAGCTGGAGCTGCCAGCTTGGATGTCATCCAGGTGTGTTTATTTGTTACTGAAAGATGTTTTCCATCTAAGTTGGGGAATTCATTGCATTTTTTAAATCCACTCATATAAAATTGGTGTAAACTAAATAATAAATACTTTGTGTGTGTGCAGGAAGTGGAATACGTCAAGGAGGAGGCCAAGATGGTGTACCTGCTCGAGTGTCTCCAGAAAACACCACCTCCTGTGAGTACTGTCACAATTGACAAAGCAAAATGTGTAACTAACACATGAGAAAAGTCACTAACTCCTCCGTTCATATCAACAGGTGCTGATATTTGCTGAGAAGAAAGCCGATGTAGATGCCATCCATGAGTATCTGCTGCTCAAAGGAGTGGAAGCAGTGGCCATCCATGGAGGAAAAGGTCTGCACAGCACTTATCTAATTCTTAAAATTCATAGCAATAAATACAGAGTTATAGAGCCTGTACAGAATGGAAGTATTTGAATATCCAACCCAGCAGCAAGCTTTAGAGCAATATGTACACAGCTTTCCTCATCAACGTTCTCGCAGTTGCTCGTCATCACCACCAGATGCCAGCCTGCCTGCAAACGTCACAATTTCTGCAAACACTTTTTTTTACATTTCCAAAGAAGAGAAGTCATTGCAGAAGCTTCTCTAACAGTTTCCATTTGTCATTGTCTTGCAAAATACAGTGTATGTAAATTAATATTTGTTATGTTTGTGTTCATTTTCCAGATCAAGAGGAAAGAACAAAAGCCATAGAGGCGTTTAAAGAAGGAAAAAAGGATGTCTTAGTTGCCACAGACGTTGCCTCCAAGGGTCTGGATTTCCCAGCTATACAGCATGTAGTGAATTATGACATGCCTGAGGAGATAGAAAACTATGGTAAGAGAGGATAAGAGGATGTGTGTGTATATTTGTATAAGCCCTGGCCTTATTCAAATGGTAATTATCAGTTCTCCATAATTTCTTACATTTGGGAATCTTCTTGTTTCAGTCCACAGAATTGGTAGAACTGGACGATCAGGCCAAACTGGTGTTGCCACTACGTTCATCAATAAGGGCTGTGGTAAGGTTGACTACCAATAAAGACTGTACAGGAGCATAGACTTCTGAATATTTGCAATTGATTAAAGTGAATTTAGTCATCTTAATTTGGTGTTAAATGACATAACTTGTGTCTTTCTCTATAGATGAGTCGGTGTTGATGGATCTCAAAGCCCTGCTGGTTGAAGCCAAGCAGAAAGTCCCTCCAGTGTTGCAGGTGCTCCAGACAGGAGACGAGACCATGCTGGACATCGGAGGTAAGTCTTTCACACCAAATCTAGTTTTTCTCTTTCTACAGGCCTACTACATGCTCTTCACTAACAGCATACTCCTTTTAAGAATCAACCTAATATGATTATTTTAAATCCACCGAAGTGTGCAGTGTTTGCAAACCCTTTCTGACCAATCTGATTCTCATGTTTCCACAGGAGAGAGGGGCTGCACATTCTGCGGTGGTCTGGGTCATCGTATCACAGACTGTCCCAAGTTGGCGGCCATGCAGACCAAGCAGGTCACCAACATCGGGCGCAAAGACTACCTGGCTCATAGTTCAATGGACTTCTAAAAGTTTCATATTCGTGGGAAGAGTCTTCAATGCGAAATGGAACTGAAAAACATTTTTGAGGAAACTGTACGCCTTTGTGTTGTGTCGTGTCATTGAACTAAGGAAGTGTCTTTTTTAATCTTCACTTGACATAGTTTGCAAGTGAATTTTCTTTGTTGCCCTAAAATCTGACATGCTTTTTGCTGGATGTGTAGAATTTGTAATATACATTTTGATACTCCAACTGTAAATAAAACCACTTTATCCATTGATGATTTTTCATGTTCTTATTTTAAAATAAATAAAGGTGAGGTACCAATTTCGTATTGTGAGGAAGTTGCCAAAACTAGCAGATTTATGCAAAGGGAAGTAGACTCAAGAAAACTGCAACACACAACTTGTGGGTCCTTTCTTTTGCAATGGTGAAGTTGCAGATCAGAGATATCTGCACTAGCAGACTTATGCAAGATATCAACAGAATGAAAACCGCTGCTGACGTAGAGGAAACATTTATTCTAGTGGCTTAGAAACCTAATTTTAACCTCCTGGTTTGTAACATCTTGACCACAAAGCATCAAGAGCTAGAGTGAAAGATTTACAGACGGCTTACAAGCATGGAGGTCGTTTTCAAGGAAGGAAAGCTGTACCTTCAAAGCGTCAAGTTTGGAAAAGTAAGTTTTATAAGATTTCTGCATACCAGTCAAACTGAACATTACGGCTCCTCATTTAGTACTGAAGTCATTGTGGTCATTGAACAGCTCGGTTCAAGAATATGTCACTGCTTTCATGAAGTGTGTAGTAAAAAGGATCAAAGGCTCAGTTGGCGATGAAAATGTTTTTGTGTTATTGGCACATCATTGAGGGTAAATGAATGCAAATGTTTAGTACGGTGATACTTCTCAAACAATGTTGCATTATTTGAAACGTTTAACTTCAAAAAAAGTTTATATTATGAACTGAAAGTCCAAGTTATCCTACAATCAGATGGCGCAGAATAGACCAGGTTTTGCTGAGTTATGAGAACGTCTTCTCTGATGTTTCTTAGGAACTTCTATGTGGTTTGTAACTCTGTAACGCCATGCAACTAAACAATCTGTATACTTTCTTTGACTTCAATCGCAGATGCAATCCTTTACTGATGTATTATATATTGATTCTATTGTTCAGGTCTATGTGGACGAAGTTCTGCTTGAACACATTTGAAATAAGCCACTATCGTAATGCATATATCTTTATAAAATGTGTTTCAAGTTCAGAAGTGCATTTATAGCTTTTTGTTCATGAAATGCCTAGTTTAGCAATATGTGACATTTAGGGAATTCAATGTAAAAACTCCACTAAGATGCTACTGTGATTCATTAAGTTTAGAAAAGACGTACCTCGGCTGATGTAGAAACCTAATGTGTGAGGATTTTTATGCACAGAGTAGCATATTATCTTAGTACTACATTTCAGATAAAGCAAGATAGAAGAATAAGACAGGAACATTACGAGAGACATAATAAAAAAACTGAATTACAAAACATACAGTAACATAGGTAAAAGCAAGTTAGACAAATAACGTTAACATAAACATTTTCACTAGTTATTAAAGCTGTTTAATGTAATGTAGCTTAACTCTACAGGGTGGCTGAGCGGCAATGACTAAGGTCATTCATAGGTCATCTAAACATTTTAGAATGATCTTTAATTCAATTCTGCAAGTTACAGGCAGTATTGTTGCAACACACTTTCCGTAAAGTAAGGTTTCACTCTTTTGACCTCCTTACCCCCATTAACCCTGATCTCTGTGGTGCATTGACTGTTGAAACTTAAACTTTCAACAACCCCAGCAGGGTGTAGATCGTCATGCGGAGCAGAAATGTAGAGCTGTGTGTTGTGAACAATCTAAACCAATCATAAACTGTGCCAGCTAACTCTATATAACTAACATCGATTAACAGTTACTTTTTTATTTCCCCCTCTGTAATCTACTCCAGAAATCATGGCGGAAAGTATCGATGGTGCTTTTTAAACCCAGCTCCTCGGGGGTCGGTCGGTTTGAGCTCTCTGTACTTGACAAAAATGCCGCTGCTGACCAGAGGAAGGTCGGTCGGCAGAAAACACCTGAAAGAAAAGTGGTGCGTCTCCAGGACTGCCTCAGTTTCCTCCCTGCTCCAAAGGTGTCCTGCCCTTCGGGTTGCACCGCCTTCTACTTACACACCGCTCAATGCTCCTTCACCCTGGCCTCCACCACAAGCCAGGACTGGCTTAGTGCCCTCTCACTTCTGGCCTTCCAGGTACAAATATCCATTAAACCGTGGCGACTTTGCCCTCTTCTTTCTAAAAGAGAAGCAGTAGATTCATTATTTGGTCAAGGTGAGAATAAACTTTACTCACACTTGGAGCTAGATAGCACAATGAGGAAGTTACTAAAGTATCTGTTACGTCTGTCTCTGCACTTCTCTAATTCTTGTGCTTACACAAGCTATGTTCTTTCTTACATCTTACATCTTTAAAGTCATAAAATGATAAGAGGGTGCTGTACACTCCATGTAATGTTTACCATGCCTCTGTGTTTACAGAAGGATCCAGGGGAATCACACAAAGGGACTTTTGAAAGAGGAAATGGCTTGACCATGGAAGACAATGACATTTACTCATCTTGGAAGACCGGTAATGCTTGTTGTTCTGCATACTGTAGAAAACAAGGAATCAAAAATAATAATTAGTGAGGGCCAGTTTAGTAAGTGCCAGCTGAATTGTTTCTCATCAGAAACCAGCAAAAACATATCCTCTACCTGGTGGTGAATTGAAAGGATTATATCCATAGTTTTCCACATATTTCCTATATGTAATTAAACATAGTAGCCTACTGACCAAGGTAGTGGTTGAGGTCCGAATTACGCTACCAAAGGGACTGTACAAAATATATGATGGGGTCAAATGGAGGGAGGGTATGATGATATTTTTGGGCTAAAGGTTTTTGCAGAGACGTCACTACCAATATGACATGGTGCTCAAATGTTACCTCCAAAAAGAATATCTGACTAAATAGTTGTTTATTTTAAACTATTTTGTATTCTTTTTTTTTAGCCCATATCAGTAATTAAAAATTAGATCTAATAATAATAACTCGAATCATCCTTTGATAGGGTAATATTAGTAAACTGCTGAGAGTATTTTAAGAAGGAACAAACAGGAAGAAGCTAGCTTGTTTTTGTCTTCACTGCATCATAAATTCAGGACACCAGCCAACACCTAGAATATGTGTGAGTATGAGCAATAGCTAAAGTCACTAATTTATTCAAACATGAATGCCAAAAAGTATTAGCGCCAGCAAGCCCTGGCTTACACACATTTATTTCCTTTTTTATTTCCTAATGGATTACACTTGTCCTGAAAAATCCAGGGAGCCCAGTCACAGGCAGAGATTAGCTATAGCAGTTTTAAATCAGTCTGTTTCTGTATGAGAATATATTATACATTAATTCCCTTTTGCTGATTTATTTTTGCTCAGACTTCCTGAAAAGTCTATTTACTTTATATGCACTTTGCTAACCTCACTGTGTTGTAATGTTTTAGTAAATATTTTCATGTCTCTCATGTTTAGATGTGACCCTTCCTCCAAACCATTACCAAGTGATTGTCCAGAGCACTGAGGCATCGAGGAGGTGCCGGTTGGCTGGGAAGTATCTGGCCTCCCCACAGAAAGAGGCTCTGATACTTCTGGAGATCAATACTGATCACATCATCTACCGCTGGCCATACCGTTTTTTGCGCAAATTTGGACATGTTGAGGTAAAGTATACCTACTTATGAATTCCATTAGTCATCATAAACCTGACGTTCAGCTCAGAGGACACACATGTCTTTAAAGGACTAATTCAACATTTTGGAAAACAAACAAATTGGCTTTGTTGCAGAGAGTATGAGATAATGGATTCCCTTTTCATATCTGTTCGATAATATGACACTGCAGCTATCAGCTGGATAGCCATAACATCTTGAAACAGAGAGCTACAACTAGCTTGGCCTTGTCCAAAATCCACCTAACAGCACATCTAAAGCTCACTTATTAAGATGTGACTTCTCCATTATCTCTCAAAACGTAGTGTGTTTTTTTTGTTTTATTTTCAAACAGAGAAATCCTAGCTATTTCCCCTGTTTGCAGTCGTTACGCTAAGCTAGGCTTAGATGCAGGTGGCTCCAGGTACATAGTTCGGCCACCATACAGACATGTAACATGTTAGTTAAACACCTTTGTTTAAATTAAAATAAAAACCAAAGAATCATTTAAATATGTTATATGAGTGAGCTTTTAGACACCGTTTTTTTTGGACAGAGCTAGTTTTCGCAGTTTCCCAGTTTCCATTCTTCATGCTAAGTTAAGCTAATTGGCTGCTTATAGTAGCTTCATACGTACCCTACTAACATGAGAGTGGTACTGATCTTCTCATCTAACTCTCAGCATGAACATGATTGATAATTCCCAAAATGTCAAACTATTCCTTAAAAATGTGTGTTAATGCATGTGATTTCAGGACGGATTCAGCATTGAAGCAGGCCGCCACTGTGAGTCAGGAGAAGGCGTGTTCACCTTCCTGTCCGAACATGGTTCCCAGATCTTCCAGGCTATATCAGATCAGTGCTCCATGGAGAGGAGGTCATCTAGCAAGTTTCACAGATCATCGATGTGTGAGCTGTCTACTGGTATCCTCCCAACCACAACCAACTGGTGCCCTGCTCCTCCAGTCTACAATCATGCAGATGTTGACACAGCGGACGAGTCTGACACCCAATACTCTACTATTAATTACAACCCTGTACTAAATGTAAGATCGCTATCTCTTTTTGAACCTCATAGCAATGAGATGCTTGGAGAGGAAGGTGAGGAGGAACGTTGTTATTCCCTGGACGCTGTAAACCGAGGTAATGTCATGGAGGACGACATTTATTACAACGTAAGGAGCGCCACACTTCCAATGATCAGACAAAATGAGGTCAAACCAAAGATGGACCCAGAGTGCATCTATGCCCATGTGAAAAAAGTGGATCCTCGTTCAGAGCCCCAGCTGCAGCTCTTGTCGTCACCCTACCCACAGCCTCCTCCCTGCACCTTTCCCCAGTCTGTCCCCTACGCCCCAGCCCATTATCAATACCAGCATCAGCCCTCTGCAAATGACTTCTTCCAGCCGGGGTACAATGCACAGGCACAGGCGGTGGATGACATGAAGGAGACGGAGGAGGACATGAGCTCCTCCACCCTTGCTACCCCCGCAGAGGTCCCTGGCAGTTTTAAACACAGGCTGGCAGAAATCCTTTCTAAGGACCTGGCAAAGTTCCAGCCACCTATTCCCTCTGGAGCAGGCAGCCCCACGTTTTCTCATTAGGCTATTAACAGAAAGACCAGGAGGAGAGCTTTTAATATGATAGACTGTCATGAAGCAGTATTAGTTTCCTTATTTCTTTGCAATCCTCTCTGCTGGGAACATTTGGCATCAGACTTTGGCTTACAAATCTATATTTATCTGTAGCCTGTATGAAAACGCCTCTGGAACACATTTTATTCTGTGGATTGTTTTGCAAAAAGAGGATTAAATGTAGTGTTGTGCTTCACTGAAGCTATATGTTCTGCTGTATTTTAATGTGACATTGCCATTAGCTGATTAGCTTAATGAACCCTTGAACTGTTTCATTAAGGAAATAGCTTTAAAGAAAATATGTTTCATTGTTATATTCAGAGTTTTAACCAATGTTTATTTCCATTTCTTAGGGAATGATAGTTTTTGTCACATATTAATCAACATTTTGGCAGCACTACTGCATTTTGGATATGGATGCATCAGTCTGCTTTGGACTGGTAGAAATATTGACACTGAGTAATGTCCTGCTGACAATGAAACATCAAAAATACAACTTAAAATGCACAGTCATGTTTTCAGTATATCTTTATTGTATCAAAACAACTCTCATAAAATACCCCATAGCTATACATAAATATCAAAATAATTATTTTATAATTTAGACAAATGTGGTGATGGTTCAGGCCATAAAGTGCAATAAGAAGGCCTCTGGGAGTTCACCATGGCCTTAGGAAGTACAACAATCAGTCAGTGTTTCTTCATTGGCAGTGCATCATCTACACTAAGATGACAGGAGAATATTAGTCCATCTGATATGACCAATATTTCTACAAGCTGTAATATTTGGTCCAATAACACACTGCAGAATAAACAGTAAGAAGCTTTCTGTCACTGTCTTCCACTCAGACTTTCCTCCATGTCACTGAGGTGCAAAGATTCCCCATCACTGCCGTTGGAAGAAGTAATTGATTGATTAGAGTCAGATCCAAATATAATAATGTGGCCTACTGAGGGGTCCCTCTGTTCCCCGCTCAGAGGGCTCTGGCTTTGCGCAGTGAGAGAGTGGATCAGACTCATCCTCTTTTCCGCAGGACTCCTGCACTCAGGGTTAACCACACCGGTCAGCAGCTCCGACAACTCATTGATGTAAATCTGCGCCAATTGGAGGGTGTCATACTTGGACAACTTTCTCTCGTTCTCCATTGAGGGGATGACGCTCCTCAGCTCGTCAAACGCTTGATTCAGGCCGTTCATCCTCCTCCTCTCCCTGGCGTTGGCTGCGACGCGTCGGTGTTTCTGCGGGCCAAAGTGGCTCACCTGCACCCCCTCCTCTGCTCGGTCAGAGTCAGTCTCTGTGAGGCCCATTGGCACACGGTCTTCCAGCGAGAGGCCCGCGGCTGCAGAACCGTCCCTCCTGGAGAACGCATGGAGTGAGTTAGAAGAAATCCACGTTTTGGAGTTGATGTGAGCCATGCTGAAATCCTCTGGGAACTCCGGCCAGCTTGATAGTTCTGATTTTGCAGTCATCCCTTCTCTGGCCTGTGGTCGCACACTGCAGTGAAAGGTCACACAGAAGACTCTGGCTGATGCTTTGGGCTCTGAATGAGTCTGCACTGCGCCAGCATTTTATACTGCCTCCCCTCAGTCACCTTGTGTCAGTCCCAGCCCTCCGACAGCCCTGTAGCCTCAGGAGGCAGCAGCCAATCGCAATCCCCCCTGACCCTGTCAACGAACAATTAGACAAAGCTCTACTTTTTCTCTCCTATTGTGCATTGTAACTCAATCACGACCTTGTTATTATCCTCACACAGAGGGGAGCCAAAAGTATTAATCATTTAAGAGCGTGGTTTATATGTTTCAAAAGCTCGGTTAAGGTGATCTAATTACGTTTGTGTAGTAGTGAAGTCTGCGCTGCATGTCTGTTGGCTTTTAGGTGTTGTTAAAAATAAATAACACGTTTATGTAGCGTTTATAATTAGACCACCGAGGCTATTTTAAATGGCATCAGATATTGAGCAGCCCCATTCAGTGTGTTGCGCAGTTTCTACTTCTACTAGAGAAAACTAAACTAAACTTCTTTATTTTGGTTATGTCCCTTGATGGACCTGCAGTGTTGAGGTTTGTTCTCAAACAAGCAGTAAAAGCTGAACAATCTTTCGCGGATTATTTGCAGAAGAATAATAAAACGAACAGGTGGAAGGCAAGACATGAGACACACCTGTCTATAGCAGGACCATGATAACCGATAAGTTGTCTCAAGGCGATTTATGAATCATTTAGCAGGATGCCAGCATCAAAACATGCACACGTCATGAAGCAAAAAGCGCAGTTATTATTAGTATAAGGGGTGTAAAGCAACTAAGTAGATTGACTCAATTAGCTAAGTACAAGTTTAAGAGACGTGTTCTTTACTTGAGTATTTCAAATGTTTGCTACTTTGTAGGTCTCTGCCTCACTAAATTTCAGAGCTAAAAGGTGTACATTTTTTTACATTTATTTAATATCTTTAGTTACTTTGTTCATTTGGATTTATGATGTGAAATATAATAAACACTTAAATAAGACTTTAGTTTGACCTGTAGTATACAGCAATTACATTTGCTGCACCTTAACCAGCTTTGATAAACTCATTAATGCATCAATAATTATTATCAAAATCTATAATATTTATTATTCTGCATAATGATTACTTTACTTTTGGTACTTTAAGTATGTTTTGATACTTATACTGTTGTACCTTTACTCGAGTAACATTTTGATTACATAACTTGTACTTGTAACAGAGTATTCCTACACTCTGGTAGGCTACTTCTACTTTTTCTCAAGATCTGAGTACTTCTCCCCACTCTGATTATTATGATTAATACAATTTGCATTAGCATTAAGATTGGGGTTTTATTTTTCTTAATAAGACCAAATCAAGTCAGATGCATTCATTTGGATCGGTCACGTGGCCCCTGTGCCTATCAGCTGGTGTCCCCTGGCACCTCGCACAAGCTACACACCTCTGTCACAACCAGAGTCCCCCCACGTCTCCCATATGCCGCGCACAGCGACAACTCTTCCTATACCCACTGACACCAGTACTGACACAGGAGCTAATCACTCATTATGTCATCAATTACACAAGAAACCACCTCAGCATCGCGTCTAAGATGTTGTGATGATGGCAACTTGGACACATTTAGCATTCATCGCCCCTCTCTACTTCTTCTTCTTCTTCTTCTTCTTCTCTGTTTGTGTATGTGTGACAGTCGGGGTCGAGCACTGCTAAAGAAAATCACCGTGACCTGCCTCGCCGCCAGCAGTTTAATGAGGCCTGGTCTTAGTTGAATAAATCGGCACGCTCTCCGTCCCGGGGTGTCCATTCATTTTTTGGGCAACATGAATATTTCATTCCTTCAGCCACACTGCCAGCGCAACAGCCTGCAACCCTGCGTGCTGGTTTAAAAATGCGGCTACACTTCCCATCTGCTGCGGGGCGTGAGCGGGGGAGTGGCAGCGGAGGCCGAGGAGGTGTGAGGAACATTTCTAAGGTCAACTTTAAACCGACCTCCTGTAAGAAAGAGACTGATGGGTCCCACCAGCCAGGGAGGGGGGCTGTAGACAACATGACTGTCAACTGGGGAGCTATGGCAACTTCCAGTGCTGGTTTTAGATGGGGGGCCATATATGCAAAACGTCCACTTCCCTAACAACTGAAAGAGTTACACTTTGAAGGATTTCCATAATTATTAAAAGTTGTAGGGGTATCTCTGCAGAGTATTCTAACCTGCAGCATATTAAAGTTAAGCCTACATATGTTTAAATGTGCAGAAAGATACGAATGTAATTTAAGGGCATGTTGTGCGATTGGTTTGCACACTGTTAAAATGAGTTTGAAAAAAAGATTAAGCAACCAATAAAGATTATTATTTTTATTAGAACATCTTTTTTTATGTTATGTTTGCTTGATTTGGAGCTAATTTGTAATGCTTTAAATTTTGATGAGGCCTTTTATTTGTAACATTGTGTCATATTCCACTAACTGTATGTTTCATTTGCAAAGTATCTTGAACTATTGGCTCTAAAATCAAACCAGGAGTAAACATTGAAGTAACTGCTCTGTCGAGGAGGCAGGTTATCGAGCCATCTATACAATATTGCTGAATAAAACCCAGCACACTCTCAAAATGAATGTATAGCTTGTGCACCCTTTGTCTCAGGATGATACAATACTGCTGACTGTAGCAGAATGTAAACAAGTTGAATCAATTTGTTTACAGTGGCATCCTGTGTGTTCTTTGACTTTAGGTGCTCCTTGAAAAGTCTTTGAAACACTTTTAGGTGCCCAGTATTGCCTGATATAACATCACACATTGCCCAACCTGCCCATAAAACCTCACAACTCAGTTTATAGACAATAATGGTTTCACAACACAACTTGGCATCCAGGACACCTGCTGCTGTGTGACGTTGATGACAGAGCCTGGCAGCAGTCCCAACAGTTTACACTCACCTATAACTATTCAGACCCTAAACACAACCACAGCAGCACCCTCTTGTGTCAACACACACTCTATGGCTGCTGTTTAACTGTCATTAATAACCATCTAAAGTGATTACAGCACACACATATGGTGGTTATAACTGGTGAGTAAAAATGACTCAATCTGATAATGGAGAAAGTGTATAGTTTCTATCATAATACATTGTCTCATTGTTTTAATTTCTAGTAAATGGAGCAGGTCTAATAGTGAAATTGAAACAGTTCTAATTTCATTGCAGGCTTCAATTCTCCCCAGGGAACCACCGTGGGGGAACCATGGCCCCGAGCAGTCTCTGGATTCCGTTTGAAGTGTCTCTGTTTTAGTCCACCTGTTCAAGACATTATAACACGGTATAATACATTCAAATAACCATATAGGATTCAGGAGTTAAGGTAACACAAATGGCACATTTGGTAATCATTTGCAGGGGATACAAATTGTAATTTGGTTCTAATTATAAGGGAAATTTCTCCAACTAATTTCTCAATTCAAACTCAATAATCCCACATTGATATGTTATTCATTGATAATTAATATATTGAATTGCATGCTGATCTGTTTAAAAAAATGTTCACTGAACATTTGAACAAGTTTGAAGTTTACGAATTGAACACTGTCTTCAGTTATGTCACAATCAGCATTTCATTACTTATATATCATTTGGCGAAAGATCGACCCATACACCATGCATCATGATTGCCAATGTTGGATCATACAATTCCATTCAAAAAATTGTAATGTAAAGATTAGGATAAATGGTACTCACAAAGGTATTTAAAGTATTAAATAATACTAATTTAATAAAAGTGTTAATTTATTATAATTTAGCATGTAGGCTTTTACCTGTAATAATTTCAAATATATCTTTACTTTCATATATTTATATTATTTCCTTGTCCAACCATCCCCTGACTTCTAAAGTTGTACTTACTTTTAATGATGGATAATTATATAATGACGCACACGCAGGTCAACATGAGTTTATCTACAGTGACTCACTGAGTTTCCTTCCTCTCACTGGGTCTTACTGGTCCATACAGTTGGCCTTAGCCTCCGTTTTGCCCCGTGTCTTTAATGTTTTAATTAAAGACTGCTTAATTTCGCACACACACACACACACGCACACACACGCGCACACACACACACACACGCACACACACACCCGAAGCTACGGAGGTGGCTCCACTGAGCAAAGAGACAAATCTTAATGCCCGGGTGTAAAACGCAATTTAGGACAATTAGCAGCCTCATTAATTCGTGAGAAGGGAAGTAATATTCTTGTAAAGTAACGCTTCGTTAAGTTATCTATGGTAGGAGGCTAATTGATGAACTCTGAGTGAAGGACAATAAGTGATTACTCTGACGGACTTTGTGGAGTCTGCAGGCCTGAAATGACTGCAGTTTGGGGCAGGTTAATTAATGCTTTTTGTTGTAAACACAGCGCTTGTTTCATCGCGAGTATACTGTCACAGTGGGCGGCTTCACTGGAGGAAATGTCGCGATGCCTGAATCAAGCCTCTCTGCGGGGTGCCCTCCTCTTGCAAGTGTTGCAGAGGATAGACGGGCCCCGCGGGGTCAGCGGTGCACCAGCATGACCGACAACAAAGACCGTCTTCAAAGGCAGACCTGCACCAATGATCACAGGTGTTAACAGATCCCTTCTGTACTACGACACGTGTCTTACAATAACCACTATTTAAGTTATGGTAACTTAGCATGCTATTCCAAACTGTGCTTTGATGAATACATCTATACTTCAACTGAATTTAACCCCCCAAAATATTGGATATCTTTCTTACATTGGTAGACATCAAGGCCTGTTTGTTCAAACGTAAACACTCTAAATAGCCAACTAAAAGTGTATTTTCAGTATTAAAATTCTTACATTTCCTGATAGTGGAGATTTACTCAATGACTACTGGAGTACAATTTTACAGTACAGGTACTCTAAACAACTCCGTAGGGGAGACCAGGTACAGTTGCTACACGGGTCGGTTGTAACACCTTCAATATCTCCAATCACAAACAAGCTAGAGTGATGAAACTCACTCTGCACATGCGCAGATAGATGGTAAGATCGCTGAGAAAAAAAGGAGCCACGTTTGAATTTCTCGCGTAAGATATCAGCAAAAGTGTGTTTCTGAGATAAAATATTAACTAAAATTATATGATGTATTTTTTGGATACTGTCTTGAGTTCAAATGTCTAGGAATCCAAACTAGTATTATTAGAATCACTGTTTTGTAAGCTACAAATATAACTAGCTAAATATGGGTCAAGCTAGCAATCAGGCAGGTTCACAGGGGGTGAAAGCAAGACTGGTGGTCCTGGGACGGTTGTAACGGGACGGTTGTAACATGGCACATTTACAATGATGGCACATTTGCTTGAATGATCAATTGTTCATTCAAGCATACAGTTGTATTGTTGATTGGTGTGCATTGTCCCTGTAAAAATAAACAGAATAAAATACTGTACAGTAGGCCTAAAGTGTGTGTGTGTGTGTTTACAGTATGCCAAATGTCAGAAAGAGGAAGACAGACAGGGGAGTGCCACTTGCTCTGCTGCAGAGGGCCTCAAATGAAGTTGAGAAGGGCAAATCATTCAGGGAAGTGGCAAAGTCCCTGGATATATGCCATGTCACCCTGTACCGGTTCCATACAAAGAGGCTGAGGTTGGAGAGTCAGGGATCACAAACACCCCCAAGAGTAGGCTACTGGACACCAAAGAAGGTGTTCTCAACAGAGCAGGAGATGCTTTTGAGAGACTATCTGATGGAGGCAGCTGATTTATACTATGGTCTCAGCTCAAAGGAGGTAGGTCTACATAATTAAGGTAGAAGCACCTCTCAGAGAACAGTTTAATCCTTCACAGAGGATGATGCTGTGTGTGTTATCTGTTATCCTGTTCATTGTTCATTGTTTGTTGGAGGATGTGTGAAACCCCATTCAAATCTTGTTGCCTTAGAATT